CTTCTTCTTCTTCTTCTTCTTCTTCTTCTTCTTCTTCTTCTTCTTCTTCTTCTTCTTCTTCTTCTTCTTCTTCTTCTTCTTCTTCTTCTTCTTCTTCTTCTTCTTCTTCTTCTTCTTCTTCTTCTTCTTTCTCCTCTTTCTTCTTCTACTGCTTCTCCTCCTCATCCTTCTTCTTCTACTTCTTCTTCTTCTTCTTCTTCTTCTTCTTCTTCTTCTTCTTCTTCTTCTTCTTCTTCTTCTTCTTCTTCTTCTTCTTCTTCTTCTTCTTCTTCTTCTTCTTCTTCTTCTTCTTCTTCTTCTTCTTCTTCTTCTTCTTCTTCTTCTTCTTCTTCTTCTTCTTCTTCTTCTTCTTCTTCTTCTTCTTCTTCTTCTTCTTCTTCTTCTTTCTCCTCCTCCTTCTTCTTTCTCCTCCTCCTCCTCCTTCTTCTTCTTTTTCTTCTTCTTCTTCTTCTTCTTCTTCTTCTTCTTCTTCTTCTTCTTCTTCTTCTTCTTCTTCTTCTTCTTCTTCTTCTTCTTCCTCTTCTTCTTCTTCTTCTTCTTCTTCTTCTTCTTCTTCTTCTTCTTCTTCTTCTTCGCAAATGTTTTAAGTTATGAACCGAATAATTATTATAGTCTTTGATTGGAGATTTATTAATTGACAAAATTACCCATAACTTTATGTTTAGGTTTTAGTTCAAAATATATTCCTTCTATATATAAGTATAGAAGTTTGTAAGGAAAATATTAATTCTCTATCACAAAGGGTACAAACTTGAAGACAAACTTGACTCGTGTACCTAATCTTGCACACACTTCAAACAGTCTGCAACAACTCTTCCAAAGTATTGTTTGGCTGCAAAAATATTTTGAAAGAAATATGAAAATGATTTAAGACAGAAAAAAAAATTGAGACAACACCTTATTTTTACTGCAGAATAGAAACACTCAGATAAAAACTCCACAAACATATGCTACTACAAAAAAAACATATTTAGAAAATAAAAACTCCTTAAGGCGTAAACACACTGATGTATACCTGAATAACTTGATTATTTCCACCTATTTTTTATGTTAAAATCATCCGAATATTGGAATTGAGATGAATGAAACCCGTAGAGAGACCAAATTGTTAACAAACACTAATAGAATGCTCTTAAAAATTAAAAACAACGATACAATATAAAGAAAAATCTTTGGAAAAACAATAAAAAAAATTGGAAACCCATTTGAACCAAAGCGAAAATTCCAAATGAACGATGCACGATTTTTGGCTAATAATCAAGATATGAACCAAACCTGAAATCACGCGAAAGCAAACAATAAACGCGGTGCAGTGTTCAGGGTCGATGTAGTCTCTCTACTATACAAGCCATGGACTTCATTGATGCTCTGCAAGAGCACTCGGTTTATCTTGGTAGAAAATTCAAGGTTTGTATACTTATCTTGGTAGACGTGGGAGGATGATTTTTATAGAAAAAAGGTGTAGACGGTTGTGAAAGAAGGGAAACTGAAAAAGCAATTTAGGAGGAATCCTACGTATTAAATGTATCCCTTGAAAGTCTTCCAAAAAGTCTAGGGTTTCTCCAAAAAAAAAAAAGCAATGTTACTTTATAACCTCGCTTAAATAATAAATTTATAGAACCTCAATAAATTAATAACCTCGCTTAAATAATAAATTTTCCCGGTCCCGACTCGGGGACAACGTGCTAAATTAATAATTCGCTAAATTTATAAGATAATGCACATTCGAAAAATATAAGAAACCCCATATAATATATAAATTAATAATGCATAAACATAATTCTTAAATTACTTGGTATAGTACATATTTTATAGATCTATAAAAGCATAATGCAATATAATTTAATTGTTGTTTGTTTCTTCTTGAAGTTCACATTCACATCAATCTCGTCGTTCACTTTTCTTAACATGGTTAGAACTATCGGTATTGTTTTGTCATAATTCAACATAAAATCGTTCTATACATTTCTGCTTTAAGAGCTTCCGTTCGTGAAACGGGCTCTATAATACATTGATCTAATGGTACAATGAATAATATACACGTAAAAAAATTAAACAAAATGTATTTATTGAAAATAATAATAAAAGTAATTTCATATAAATTAATAATTTATTAATTAATGTATAAATTAATAATTATTAATTTATCGATAAGTTAATATTTCACTAAATTAATGAAATTTTGATGGTCCCAGCGATATTAATTTATAGAGGTTTAACTGTATAAGATAAGGTTAGAATAGAGAGGTGGTTGGGATATTAATGACGAGAGAGAAATGAGAGAAGAAAGAGATGGTGGTGATATTAATGAGTATAGATGAATGAGTTGGTGAATAAAATATATATGTTAATAGTATGCATTAATATGTTTGGAAATTGAAAAAAATATAAATAATATATTTTCAATGGAAATTTAATAAGAAAAAATAGGTATTTTTAAATAAAATTATATAAACAAACATGATCTCTGTTTAACTAGAAAATAAGGTTTTAAAATGGAAAGATAATGCCCAATATTTGCAAATCAAATCCTAAAAAAATTGAACATAAATCCTTAAGATTACATAAAATCAGAAAACATGTGCATTATTTAAATAAGACATCAAAAGATATTTATCATATCTCATACATGCAATAGAGTTGCAGAAAATATATATAATATTCAATGATAATTTTGTAATATCAAAAGATCAAATAAAATCACAAAAGAATAGATGCATAAAAATAGATAAGATATGCAAAGTCACTTGCCATATATTTTGGGATATGATGATAATGAATATTTACATAAAATAGATATGATATGTAAAATATTTGTCATAAATCTTAAGATATTTTCAATAGAGTTTATAAATTTCATGAGATTCCATATTAAGAAAAGTCTAGGAAAAAATCAACACTAAATGAAGTCCTAAAGGGATACTCTAATATCCTAAATAAGATTCTTCTTATTTAATTAGAGTAGGTAATTTTGTTGTTTAATGGATGAAGATTATAAGATTTTCACACACACACACATATATATATATACTCTCTACTTATATTTTTGGAGGAAGATTCTATGTATCTAATTAGAATAGGTAATTAAGTTCCCTATGAAAGAAGATTCTAGCCCCAAAATAATTTCAGGTTTTTATTTTGGAACGAAATAGTGTTTTTCATTAGATGTGAACGAACACGGAAGGGACCAAATGTGTTTAGGTAAAATTTATTCACTTTGGAACAAGGGTACTAAAAGTGGAATCGAACCAAACATGAGGGACTAAAATGTAATTCTCCCCAATTTATTACACACATTGGTGTCAATGCTATACCCGATACCCGAGTTTGGTACTAATTGAAGAATCCCGTATAAATCTGAACAGAAGAGAAACGAGGGCCACTTCGCAAAACCACTGTCATTATTCTACTGCCAATAATAAATATTGGGAAATTTATATTTTAGTCCCTCCAGTTTAACTCAATTTAACATTTGACCGTCCATGTTCGTAAAAAATAGATTTAGTCCCACATGTTTCAATAATTTAACATTTTTTGTCATTTTCATTAATTTTTCGTTAGTACTAACGAAATCAAATAATCAATAGTGTGTCAGTCAGGCAATGTTTGGTAGCGTTTCTATTTTGTTTTCATTGATTCCCCAAAACAAAATTATATTTATTACACTTCTCAAATAATTTTCTCAAAACAATCTCAAAAGTTTCTCTCTCCTTCAGATATGATGTGACTGCTACAGTAAAATGATTTGACTAAAAAATGTCTTCACTAAAAAACAAATAAATATCACTTCATCTTTCAATTTTTTTCTTCTAAAATACTTTTTTCTAACACTTTTAAACATGATGTGACTGCTACACCGTATTTTGTCTCATTCAAAAATATAAACAAACATTACTTTCATTCTCAAATTATTCCCCCATAACACATTTCCTCAAAATGAAATCAAAATAAGTTCCAAAACGCTTCCAAACATAGCCAGTAGTACTCTCTTAACTTAACTGACGGATTTACGGAAAATTGACAAAAAATGAAAACATGCCAAATTACTAAAACATGAGGGGCTAATTTTTTTTTTTGTGAACATTAAGGGTCAAATATGGAATATATGCAAACTTAAGGGGTGAAAACTGTAATTGTCCGAATAAATATTCTATTTAATTATTTCACTTTTTTCACTTTTATTTTATTTTATTTATTTTCTTACTTAAATAGAATTTGATCAAACGCTCTCTTAAAGCAACTTAGTTTTGCAGTTCACTCAATTCTTAACTCTCTTAAATTCAATTTCCATGGCGAACGACGCCAAAATCATTGTCAAGGACGAGCAACCCGACCCGAATCTCCTCCCCAAACGCTTACCCAACCCGAATTCCGGCCATCCCACCGCCGTAATCGAACTCTCGAGCTCCGACTCCGATTCCGACTCCTCCTCTTCTTCTGACGACGACGGCGGCCCCGCCACCAGCCGGAGCAGAAATGCGAGGAAGAAGCGCAGAAAGGCGGCGGAGGACTTCGGCGGAGTGTTGCCGTTGGGATTTCTGGATCCCTTGCCTACTACTACTAAGCAGGCGCTGCCGAGCGAGCGGTTGTGTTTGGAGTTTCCGTCGTCGAGAGTGAACGCCGTCCCGCAGACGAGTGTGAAGCAGTTCTGGAAGGCGGGGGATTACGAGGGGGCGCCCGGCGGTGCTTGGGATTCTTCTAATGGTGAATAATTTCTTTCCTTCTTCTCCGTGTTATGCATGTTTGTGTTGTTTTTTTTTTCTTGAATTTCTGGGGTTTGAAGCACAAGGTGTTTAAGTTTTTCTTTTCGCTTGCGTGGGTGCTTGATTTTTCGGAGCATAATGTCGTAGTACATCTTGCTTTAGTGATTGTACCTTCATCTCTGGATAAATCGTGTCTTTTGTTTTCAGCAAGATGATAAATCAGTAAAAAAATTAGGGTACATACTTGAAGTTTAAAGTATGATTGCATAACCGATGTTGATACTTACGGATTTAGGCTATATGCTGCTAATAAATTAAATTATAACCTATGGTAACATGGAACAAAATCCCAGGTGGCATTCTTAATACTCTATTCGGAATTCTTGAACACATCGAACCATGATTTATGGCTTACACAATTCTTGTACTATATTCACAGGTGGCATGGACCATGCCAGAATACATCCCAGATTCTTACATTCGAATGCCACCAGTCATAAGTGGGTTCTTGGAGGTAAAAGAGTTAACCAAGTTTTGACAAAATGTTGTATTCGTGATCCATATTTTTGTTTTTTAATTCTTACCGTACTGGTGTTTTTTATGACTCTGCTTTTGCAGCTTTTGCGGAGCTCTTGGATAACTCGTTGGATGAGGTGGATTCTATATCTTTTCTTGTCGTTATAATTGGGGCGTGGATTTGTTTAATTTGGGATTGAATTCTTATGGTTTTATGCATTCTGTACAATAGGTCTGCAATGGAGCTACGTACGTCAACGTAGATATGGTCCAAAGCAAGAAAGATGGGAACAAAATGTTGTTGATTGAAGGTATATTTATTCTATTACTTTTTTCCTTATGATTGCATAACCGAAGTTACAGTTCTGATTGATTTAAATAGATAATGGCAGTATTCTTTTGAGGTATCTATTGTTTGTTAGCGTCATGTGCTAACTTTGAGGTTTTAAATAGATAATGGCGGTGGAATGGACCCGGACAAATTACGCCACTGCATGTCTCTTGGTTATTCCGCAAAGAGCAAAATTGCAGATACAATTGGTCAATGTAAGTCGTCTCCCTTTCTCACTATACCAACCATAGACACAAACACGAACACCATTTGACTTCAGAAACATGTTTTAGTATTGCTCCTTGATTTACTGACAAAGCTCTGTTGTATCAGATGGCAATGGCTTTAAGACAAGCACTATGAGACTTGGAGCTGATGTTATTGTATTTTCTCGACATTGTGGGAAAGATGGGACAAGGTTTGCATTCTTTATTTAGTCCCGATAATAGTTTTTGTCATAATAGTGTTTGTAGTTAATAAATTTGATCTATGTCCTTTTGTTCTTGCAACATATTATTGTTAACGAGTGTTGGTTAATTATTAAGTCTTATTGGTTTCTGTTTTATCTTCGTCGCCGTTAAATCATTTGAGTTTTTAGGCCTACACAGAGCATTGGATTGCTATCTTATACGTTTTTGAGGAGCACAGGAAAAGAAGACATTGTTGTTCCCATGGTGAGTATTATTTGTAATATATTTGTAATGTTTCATTCTTTGGGAACATTTGTTACTTCCATGTGAAAATGTGTGTTGTTCGTGAAGAATGTAATCACGTATGCTAATAGTTAACTGCTTAACAAAAATTTGTCCGTGAAGGAGTTGTGAACGTACTTTTAGTTTTGTCAAATGTGTCCTTACACTTTGAAGATATTTTATTCGTACAATTGGTTTTTGTTATGCTTTAGCCACCAGCCTAACTAAATTCAGCATCTTTTTTTCACTTTTTTGTTCTTATATTCTCTTATGTGCTTATTATGATTGTTGTATTAATTAATATGCTCTTCCATTCATTGGCTGCATTGCTGGATTCGTGTTATGGCCTCTTCTATACGATTAAAAGCTTGATTATGAAAGGAAAGGACAAGATTGGAATAGGATGGTCCGTTCATCTACTATTGACTGGAGTCGAAATGTTGAGGCGATAGTCGAATGGTCTCCCTTTTCAAGTGAAGCAGATCTTCTTCGGCAGGTTATTTTTTCTTTGTTGTTTTTGGTCAAACTGTTGTTCAGTTGTTCCGTGATCTAGATTATCATGTATAGCCTGGCCTTTGGAGCTATGATTAGTTTTAGCATGGATTAGAACAAGGAAAGTGGCAGTTACATCTGCCCAAAAAAACTACTTCGTTTTCTTTCTTTTTCTAAACTTATAATTTTAAACTATACCCTTTATTAATATTTACACGTCTCCCCATGTTTCCATCTGCTATTTTTTTCGGGATATGCCATTTCCCAACTCTACTTCCATGTTTTCTGTGTCGGTTTTCCTTGTCCATGCTTCACAGTTCACTTTTATTTTCATTTCTTGAGGGTTTAGTTTTCCACTTATTCTTCATCTTTTGTTTTATTTTGTCTCGGGTATTTTTGTTTTCTTTTTCTGCCTTCTATTTTTAGAGAGTGTCTGTCTGGCTGTAACTAAGTAATTTAACACATTTGATGTTCGTTTCTTTGCTGATTTTGTTTCTTGATACTGTGTAGTTCAATGAGATGCAAGACCAGGGCACTCGTATAATCATATACAATCTTTGGGAAGACGAACAGGGCCTGCTGGAATTGGACTTCGACGCGGAACCACATGTAATCCCCACATGTAAACTATATTTGTTGATATCTTAATCTATTTCCTCACATCTTATAAACAATTACTTCGCTGTCGTATCTCCAGGATATTCAAATTAGAGGTGTCAACAGAGACGACAAGAACATAGATATGGCAAAGAAATATCCCAACTCTAAGCATTTCCTTACATACCGGCATTCATTGAGGGTAAAACTCATTTTCCGAGTAGTTATTATGCTCTCTTCATTCGGTTCTGTTATGGCCTCGTTTGGTTGGGGAGATTATTAACTCTTCCTGTTATTATAGAATAAAATTTGTTACGAGCACTCGTACATAATTTCTTCTAACAAGATTACTTGCTGGAATTGCAGAATTATGTAGCTATCCTCTACCTAAGGATTCCTCCTGGCTTTCGAATCATTTTGCGCGGTGAAGATGTCGAGCACCATAATATTGTGAATGATATGATGATGTCACAGGAAATTACGTACCGACCTCAGCCTGGTGTTGATGGAATTCCCGGTCATTCGAATGTAATTTTCGTCGTAATGAAATTTAGTTCGAGTTACGCCCTGATGTATGCTTATGCAAATCTCGTTGACTAATTTCCATGTTTTTGAATAGATGGTTGCTATAGTTACTGTTGGGTTTGTGAAGGATGCCAAAGCTCACATTGATGTCCAGGGGTTTAATGTCTATCACAAAAATCGTCTTATCAAGGTAAGTTTTATTTTATCCCATTTCATTGACCCAGTGATTAACGCCTTTCTTGCAATCATTTTTCTGTGTGAATTGTTGAATTGAACTTTATATCAATTCCGGAGTATGAGTTTTGATTTGAGGCTTGTTTGCTAATTGCGTCAGATTGAACGAAAAACAGAGGAACAATTGATTGTTTACTTTACGTTGTACTTTTTGTCGAACTTTTTAAAACTTGAAATTGGATGGGCACCAATTTCCAGAATGTTTTCTCGTGTAATTTTCTGCAATCAAATTTCGGGATGTTTGGAATATTTGTTCACAGTGAGATTATTTGCTTGTACGCATTCCTGATGCTGTGTATTTTTCATATTTCCAGCCATTTTGGAAAATTTGGCATCCTGCTGGTAGTGATGGTCGTGGAGTTATAGGTATTATTATAATCACTTGAACTTACAGAAAGTTTTGTCATTTGCGTGAAATCGCTTATTAGTGTATTATGTTCTCTTATACAAGGTGTGCTCGAAGCCAATTTTATCGAACCAGCTCATGATAAACAAGGTTTTGAGCGGACTATAGTTCTCGCAAGACTCGAGACACGATTAATACAAATGCAGAGGACATATTGGTCTGTTGTTTATTTTTTTTTCCTTTGGTTGTGTTCTTAAGAATTGATTTCTGTTTCGGTTTTGCTTTCAATTTATTCGATGAGGTTTTCATTGTTTGTTTTTTTTTTTCTTTTGCTTCTGCCAGGTCCTCAAACTGTCATAAAATAGGCTATGCTGCTCGAAGCAATAAAAAGGGTAATAATGAAGGTAAAAAAGTGTTCATACAATCCCAGAAAAAAAGAGAGGGTAAATTACACCTACCCTTGAAGTATGCTAAAATAACTTCAAGGTCCCTTTGGTATTGATAATTACAACTACACCCATGAAACAATTACCGGAGCCAAGATTTCATGTCCAGGAGAGCGATATCACTTTATTTGTTTTCCGCGGGGCCGTTAATGCTACCATAGACGAATTTTTTTAAATCTTATATTAAATAATAAGGATTTAAGAAATGTTGCGGGAGCCATGTCACCCCCTACCCCTATTTTGTCTCCATCATTGCCTGAAACTAATAGTCCGGTAGAACCCTAACTGTATTACTTATCCAATGCATTATTCTGTTAGGGTTCTTAAGAAAGTTCAGGGGGTGATTGTAATTATCGATACCACATGGACTTTAAAGTTATTTTAGCATACCTCAGGAGTGTAGGTGTAATTTACCCTAAAAAAAAACCCCGCGTACATGAATTATTAGCATTTGCTAATGTTTTGTCAAGGATCTGTCTGATGTACGTTTGACTGTTCTGTTTCAGATAGCTCGGCCGATTTTCCTGGGTTAAACAAGGGAAGTTTTTCTGCAAGTGAAAAGGGACAGCCCAAGTTTGTGGACAAGGGCAAAAATAACGGGCATGTAAATGGCAAGGAGGATGTGAGAGCACAACCTAGGAAAAGACCGAGTTATGCTGACCTGTCATCATCTTCTGTAGAGTATGTTAGCGATAATGATGACGTGCACAACCACACTTCTAAAAAGAAGCCATCTGTTTTGAAAAGTCGTGACTCTCCTACTGAGATGCATTCCCAAACAACTGGATATTTAAACTCACAGGTCATTTTTTTTACCTTTTTATTTATTTATGGGGTTTTTGAATCGATTTCCAAGGTAGGCTTTTTTACATTGTTAAATGCAATATACAAGAAAAAGAAATTAGGAAGCACAGAATATGGTCGAGCCATGATTAACCGTCTAAAAATTGGCTTGTTTGTTTTTAAGGGTTTATTGCATTCAGCACCCCTGTGTTTTTTTCTAATTGTTAAGAAACTCTCCGCATGGTTTTTTTTAGGGGGGTTGTGTGCTAAAAAAATGCATTATGAGGGGGGGTTTTGCCAATAAAATAACATGGGGAGCTTTTTAGCAATTTGATATAACATAGGAGGTGCTAAATGCTATAAAATTTTGTTTTTAACTGCAATTTTTACATTTGGAATTCTGATGGTTTTTATGTATGGGGATTTTGTTTTTATCACCATTAATTAATTATGAATAATACTATCCATAGAAAAAGAATTCTCTTTCTAACTAACTCTATGTTGCTTGTGTAAAGCATTATTTTGTCTTGAATCGATTTTGGAGCTTTATGTTGGTTGTTTGTCACAAAACAGGAGAACGGTTTTACGAACAATGAGTTCTCACCGTCAAGTTCCAGCTCTCTTGCTCTAGTAGCTAAGTTGAAAGAAGAGAATCTCCAGTTGAGAGAGAGGTATATTCTCAACCTTAAATTTAGTGTCGGCTTTTTGACCAACTCATACGATAAATCCAAATACTCTTGAATTCACAGATTGAAAAGAAAAGAAACAGATATTCTCGATGATCTGCTTCGCGATTTACAGCAAGAAAAAGAAAGATCAAAGTCTCTTGAGGCTCAGGTAATTAAAAAAAAAAAAAAATATATATATATATATATATATATATATATATATATATATATATATATATATATATATATATATATATATATATATATACCGTGATAATGTAATAGCTTTTATTGATGATTTTTATAAATTGACCAGTTGGAACAGGCGAATCGAAAGTACGAGAATCTAACTAGAGAGCAGGAAACTTTGGTAGATATATTTTCAGAAGAGAGGCAGCGCCGTAATATCGAGGAGGAAAATCTGAAAAATAAATTAAAGGTTTTCTTCGCTTTTCGTTCTTTTCTTAATCTAATAAATTGCGAAAATTCAAAATATCTCAATTTTCATTTAATTTTTTTTCTAGGATGCATCGAACACCATTCAACAGTTGATGGACAAGTTGAGGTTGTTGGAGAGAGGATCTTCAAATGGTAGATAAGGCTTTTGATTATATCAATTATATAGTTATTGTTATAATATATTATATATATATAATATGCACACTTGTTTTTAAGTGTGTATGGTGTCATGCTGTGTATACCGTAGGATTAGCGACTAATCGAACTGCACCAGTTACATATCACCTTTGATCGCGCGAAAGGGATGACCTTCCGTAGTTGTATCAATAAGCTCTGCGTATTAGGGGTAGATTAGTCATTACATATCTGGTGTAAGTTCTAACTGGTTGTAACTTATAAGTTATAACTAGACTAAGTCTCTTGCATTTTCTCCTATTTCATGGATTATTTTAAGAAGATATTTGATTGTGGATCGTTCTCCGGATCTTTCTCGTTTTCCTTTCCTATTTTTCGACATATTTCTCAAGTTTGTAGTCATGAGTTTGTAATACCAAAATAATTTGGATCCATGTTGAACAAAAAAGAAGTTGCTATTGAGGTTTACTAAATAACAAAAAGAATTGGTAGCAATCCATATTTATGCAAGTTAATGAGGGGCTTCCTTCAATTATCATTTCCATACGACAAAAAAATGCTACCAAATCAGACAAATTGGATTTTGGACTATAGTTACATATTTCTGAATCCTGCCCTTGTTATCTTTTCAACATTATTTTGTATTAATTAGTAAATAAGGGTATTTTTGTCTAACAATATTTATTTTTTTCTAAAATCAAGACACATTCTTAAAAATATATGCAAATGTGAAAAACGACAGTTAATTAAAAACGAATGGACAAAGTATATAATAACCACCAACAAGATAATCACTCATTATCAGCAGCGGTTGATATTTAATTTGAGAGAATGTAGAGCCAACAATATTGATACGTGTGATGAATAATTGAGGCGTCAAACATAATTATGAGGTGTTTATTTCTGCAGTTTGTTTTTTGTAACACAGCTTTCAAAAACATTTCATACAAACAAACAAGAGACACCATAAATTGAAACAGCTTAGTAAAATGACAAATGTAAAGCAAAAGTGCAATTTTATCGTCTCATGTTTCATCAATATTTGTAAAATAAAATAATTATTCTTTTTTTTTTTTGAGTATTTTCGATGCATTTGCCCGAAATTCGTTTGGTTTCGGGTTTGATGCAGTCGAAAGAAATATTTTATATGTAAAACATTTTTTTGGCAAGTTTCGGGTTCGAATTTTCCAAAACTAGTAAAGGAGTTTCTGGTAATTGTACCCAAATCTTGCCATTTTCTATTTCTTTTCTTTTCAAATTTCTTTTAATTTTCTATTAATTATTTATGAATTATTTAATATTGTTAGTGTTAAAATAATTTTAAATTGCTATATGATTAATTATTTTTTAGCGGAATATATTCCTACCAAACATCTATAAGACCGTATTTCACTTACTAAATTGAATTATTTAGTCTCATCTCTATTTGAATCAAATTAATCATGACTAAATCAATTTAATTAGGTTAAATGACAATTTTGCCCCCAACAAAATTTTATTTCACTTCCTCAATCCCATCTCTTCAAGTTTTACCATACTGGGCATACTCAAGTGTAAAAGAAAGGGTATAACGGTGATTCGGAATTCATTAAACTTTTGCCCGTTCAACGTGTAAAAAATTAGTTACCATAAACACAAAACAGAGTTAAAAGGAAAGTAAACAATTATGGTAAAATAATAATAACAATTGTTATTAATTATTAATTATTAATTATTAATTACGAGTTTACCACCAGCAGCACGCACGTGCACATATATTAACCGCGGTAAAATAAAGATAAAGAAAAGTAATAAACATCGTTCATCCGTCGCTATATAGAATCAGAGCTGCCTCTGCACATGCTTTCACGCCTACGCTGAACACAGTACCTTTCTCCCCCAATAAACCCTACTCTCTCTCTCTCTTCAGTTTTCTCTCTCCTCATATACATACAAATTCTCTCTCTCTCCGTCTCTCTATATATACATATATACACAGAAATCATGCACGCATATCGGAACTGACTGTTCTCTCTCTCTCTCTCTCTCTCTAAAATTCCAAACCTCCGAAAAATCAAAGGTAAAAAAAAAAAAAAAGACGAAGAGATCTCAGAATACATATCGCTGTTTTGATGCTGCGCCTCTCCTTTTTTGTCTGCTTCCATTTTGCTTTCAATGCTCTGTCCCCATGTTTATATGTATATATGTTGGACTGTGTAATATACCATCACATACAGATTGAATTAATTTTGGAATTTTTTGCTGTTTTGTCATTGGTTTCTGATCGATACTTTTTTCTCGTTTCTGATTCTGCAAATTCTGTATTTCTCTTTTGTGTTTTTTCGGTGTGTGTGTGTGTGTGGGGTTTGCAATTTGCATTAACTCCGAACGGAAAGGAGAGTCGCGTTTGGGAAAATTATTCGGCTGTGGGGCTCTTTTCCCGGTGCGATTTTTAAAGCGGTGTCGGGAAACTTTCCTTTATTGATGCTTCAAATTTTTCCATGGGCTTTCATCCAATAGCCGCTCTTCTTCGATCCTTCCTTCTTTCTCTCTCTACTCTATATAAAGTGAAAATTAAACCATACTCGTGACTACTGTTTTTTCAAAGTCAAAACCCTAGCCTCCTCCTTCCCCTCTTTTTCTGTACGTGTGTATTTATTTATTGGAATTTTAACTACAGATTTTATTCAGTTTTTGTGTGTGTATATATGTATGTATATGTGTGTGTTTGATGGGATGTATTGATTTTGCAGAGATTTGTTCGTGAAATCAGAGCTGTCAAGTCATATCAAAGCTTTCTCTCTCTCTACGGTTTCTCAGTCAAAAAACAAATCAAAGGATATATTGCAAAAGCTGAGCTATATCTTCAGTTCATACAGTTGGCGGTGATTAGTGATTTGCTAGCTTTAGCACGTAGCTCTGAGTCGACTCAGTAGCACTCGGTTGCGTTTTCCTTCTCGAGCCGACTCGGTGGAAAGTTAAAAGCTCCGAATCAAGGATTTTCAGTTTCGGAGGCGCCGATTAAGAAGAGGAATGAATCGCGAAGCTTCTTCATCGTCGTCATCATTTAGCCGGCGGAGATTTGCTTCACTTACGGCGGTGTTAGCGGCGGCGTTTTTGCTGCTAATCGTTGGAATCTATACAGGTCAGTAATCGCTGCTCAATACAACCGATTGTAACTTCATCTGTGTGTGTGTGTGTGTGTGTGTGTGTGTTGCTTTGATTTGCATATCGGAAATTCAAATTAGGTCGGCGGAATTTGGTTTCTCTTTCAGGAGCAATTTCTGCCATTTCCTTGTGTTTATTTATTTGGATTTTTCAATTATTATTAATCAGTATAATATTTTTTTAATTTTGTAATTATTATATATGTTAATTCGATACTGGTAATTAACATTTGGATAATTGCGTTTCAGATGACGGTTTAATGGAGATTAATCCAAGTTTATCCCACAAGAGGAGCTCAGTAACTGCCCAGAATAATACCCTCTCTCTAACCCATCGGAAGCTGCTTAACACTGGTACTTAATCATAAACCCTAATTATTCTCTAATCATAAAACTTTAATCACACTGTTTAAATCTGTGTTTATTTATTGAACAAAAAGAGTCCGCATTTAATGGCATTAGTATATATGCATGAATAAAACAGACCAAAAGTGTGAAATCCTCTGATAAACCCACTGTGTAATACTGCAACTATTTATAGTGATATGATAACACACATCATACACACACACACACACACATATATGTATACATTCATATGCTTTGGCTTATGTGCATATATATATATATATATATATATATATATATATATATATTGATATTCTGATTTTTGCATGTATACATGAAACACACACACACAGACACACACTGTGTATTTTACCACAGGCCCCTTAGCCACCACTTTTTTCTCTCAGTTGTCGGGTACGGTTTCTGCCCCCATTTAGATGGCGCCACTTTCACCTTTTTCCCACTACGGTGTTGTTTTTCCCTATTTTACCCCCACACCTTTTCAACCCTACTTATTATCTTGTACTACTAGCTATAGTATGAAGAAGAGGGCTATTTTTTTTTTTTTTTAATTATTTTTTTTTTCTCTTTCAAAATTTCAATAATATGGTCTTAATTAGATTTAAAAAAAAATCTATTAGGGTGGCTAAATTATTGATGTGTGCATTTGATGTATAAATTACTTAACTGCACACGTGTGTGTGTCTTTGAATAATTTAATTCCCTTCTAACCCGCGTGTAATTAATCATAAATGTGATAGAAATTGCTCGCATATAATACATATGTAATATAATAATATAATAAACTCTATTCTCTATGCACAATCTTTTTTCGTTCAAACGTCTCTTTCTAAAATTCTCTCTCTAAAACATCTCCTTTCTCTCTCTAAAAATCTTTATCAAAAAGTTGAATTTGTCCATTAATGCCCCCTCTTCTCAACAGTGACATCTCAATGAATATTAAACAGCATTTATTCAGTATCTCTTTTTTTTTAATTTTGCAGAAAAAATTAAATTAGATCACTGAATATTTATTTTTTTGTGTTTAAAACAGAAGCAAGCAAAGAAGAAGTGGGTGTGGAGCCAAACAGAATATGGAGTGACAGGTGTTCAAAATCTGACATACTGATAAGCCAGGGCCCCACCGCGCCGCTGCCGAACGGTATCCCGACTTACACGGTGGAGATTATGAACGTCTGCGTCTCCGGCTGCGATATCTCAGCCATCCACCTCAGCTGCGGCTGGTTCAGCTCGGCTCGGCTGGTCAACCCACGGGTCTTCAAACGTGTGCACTTTGACGACTGCCTGGTCAACGACGGGAAGCCGCTGGTCAACGGCAAGACGCTATCGTTCCAGTACGCCAACACCTACCGTTACCCACTCATCGTCTCCTCCGTTACCTGCTGACGACAAATTATATATATATATAGACGGCACACGCTAATTCCACTACATACTAATTAACACTAGTTTTTTTTCTATATATATATATATGTATACGCAGAGTTGGGGGAGAAGAGGGCAAAATGGGAATTTTGATTTTATGGTGTGATGATGACAGAAGTTTGGATTATTACTCTTTTTGTGGAAAGAAATGAAAGGGAATTTGTAAATGGAATTTGACTAATTGGAGATGGATATTAGTTTGTTTTTTTGTCCTTAGTGGAAGATGAGGGGAAAATGAAGAGTGGACGAATATATTTCTTTTTTTTCTTTTTGTGGGCTGTATGTGAATATCTATAAATATCATGAACCAAAAATATAATTTTGCAGAATTTGAGTTAAAGTAAATGAATATGTAAAGATTTTTTATTTTGTAAAGGGGAAATATGCAAAACCCCCCTCAAACCATAAATATTATGAGTTAAACCCATTTGACTTTTAAGACTTTTGCCCACACCCAAAGACCAATCTTAATTAGTGAAACCCCCCTCAACAACTTTAATAAGACGGAACTACCCTTATCAGTAGTTTTTAAAATAATTGCAATATTTATTTTCCATAACCGTCTCACGTAATTGTAGGATTACATTAATTCTCTCCATATATCTCTCTTTCATTCTCTCTCTATTTCTCACGCAACTTCTCTCTTTTTTTTTTTTTTTTTCTTCTTCAGCCCATAATCTTCCATCACTCGCCAATGGACACCACTCAGCCGCACACGGCGCCGGCGCCGGGTTTGATTCTCCTTCCGAAGAGCGAACGAAAAAAAAGGAGAAAAATCAAGTTTTTGAGATGCAACAGTTTTCGTGCAGAGGCCAGATCGGAAGATCTAACCATCGGATCGGGTTGATATTTTTACACATGATTCGTAACACATAAATATAACTTATGAACGGTGGAGATCGGAATCAGACTTCTCTGAATATAGATTGGATCTTAAAACTCGCTGCTGGTTTTTGTTACTGAATAATTCATGGCAGCTAGATTGGACGCGTTTTTTGTACAATTGAACCGTTGGATGTGGCCTAAATTTGGATAGAGTATTCAGAGTATATATTTTTATATACTGTACGGAGGAGATTGAATTTGGTGCCCCCTAGCTCCGGATATAAATTGTGAAAGTATCACAATTCGGTAGTCACATTGTAGTCACATTCTCATGTTTTTTTGTAGTGCTGCACATCATGTCGTCAACCTTGATGATTCTGTTAAAGTATGGAGGGTCGTTTGGGGTGAAGATATGCCAGGGTGATTTTGTGTATGAAGACCTCGCCCTCTGTCTCGTTATTTTTCTATCTTTATTTATGTATTTTTCGATTTTTTTTCCAGATCTGAACAGCAGTAGTAACATGACTATAGCCATATTCGAATATGACTATAGTCATATTTAATATATTTTTCGAATATGACTATTCAAGTTGACTTCTAATAACAAGATTCAAATTGTGATTTTTTGTGTGGATGTTGATTGAATTGTTTTCGTAAATAATAGGGAATCTTCGTTGTTTTATATGATTTGGTAAACATCACTATGCCATATAATCGGAACTTTTAAGTTCAAAATGTAAAAAACAACAATATAAAGAAAGAATATGACTACAGTTTATAGTCATATATAGTCATATTCAACCATAGTCATATTCGGCGTTGCAAACCTGTTGAGAGAAAAATTTCAATTTTTTGTTTAAAAAAAGTTTTAAAAAAAAATTAAAATGATATTTTTATTAAAAAATATTAAAATTAAAAATAAATTCAAAATGACTAAATAAAGTCCAAAAATAATATAAAAATAAAAAATAAAAATAATAAAATCCGATTATTTTTTTATTTTATTTTTTTGATTTCGTAGCAATTTTTTATGAATTTGGAACAGATTTTTAGGAATTAAATTGTTATGGAAAGAGAGAAAAAAGGAATAATTGAGATAAATTAGGGAAAATATATAATTAAGCCTAATTAGCGGGATTAGGTGCCTCATTAATAGGGATTTCGAAATTACTGGATAATTATAAAAAAAAACGTGATACACTACTAGAGGGGTAAGATTGGAAATAAATATTCTAGGGGGTTTTCACAAAGAAAGAATTATTGTATGGACATATCACTAGTTTTTATCTAAATGAGGGGTGTATTGCTAATGACCCCTTTTGTAAATGGGGTTTGACAATTTGTTCTTACATAACAATTGAGTCAAAACATTTGACTCAGCTGACTTTAATTAGTTGAGTAAATTGATTTATCAGATGAGTGGATGAATTTAAATTAGTTGAGTTATAATCTTACTGTAGGAATACAGTAAAGTCAACCCCAATCTCATTCCTTGAAACCACAGCCACTCGCTGGACCGCTGTTGGTCAATGCCGACGAACATCGGTCAACAATGGTCGACGACGGATCAACTTTCCGATCAACAAAAGAGGGGTCGGGTGTCTTTGGTTTTAAGTTTTTGAATCTTGTGTATGGCAAGGACTAACGATACTTTTGCCAAAAAGGCCATAGTGACATAAATCTATAAACAATGGACTTTTGAGAAAAGTAAAACAACGAGTTGTAGTTCTAGGAATTTCCCTTGACTTTTGTGTAAGTGATTTTGTGCATAGGTCCATAACCAAGCATCTTTATTATTCTAAGTTTATAGGTTATATTTATTTCACTGATACACCCATCCATTTTATATTTATTATAACTAAAAGAAACATTGTATACGCCAATATTACCTCCAACCATTTATACCCAATTCTTCATTGTAATCCCAATTTAATCATTTTTTTTCCAAAAAAAAATCCTTTTTTGAACACAAAAATCCAATTTTGACTTTTTTTTTAAATTTCTTTTTTTCAAAAATAATTTTTTGCCGCCGGATTCCGGCGTTGACTTTTCGAATTTTTTTTTTCCTGATTTTTTCGCCGGTTTCCTGCGTCGATTTATTTTTTCTGGTCTGTTTTTTTCCGCCGCCGAATTCCGGCGTTGACTTTTCTTAGTGTTTTTTTTTATAATTTTTTTTACGTCCGCCGCTAAACGTTGACCGTAATTGTGTTATCACTGACAGTAAATTAACGTAATTATACTGTCAATGAGAGTACATTAACGTAATTGTACTGCCGTTGACAATACATTTATGTAATTAATCTGCCATTTACAGTAAATTAACATATTATTATTATTTTTTTTTGTTATATTTTTTTAATTTCGTTTGATTTGTTGACAACTCAACGTAATCATATTACTGTCGTTGACAGTAAAATAACTGTAAACACAATAATATTATTGTCAACCACATCAATATTATTTTTTTTTTTGGGTTTTTTGTTTTGTTTGAGTTATTCACTGAGTAACGTACTAATATTACTGTCTATTATTGTAATATTAGTGTAAACACAATAATATTACTGTAGTTGACGATATTATTACTGTTGTTATAGTAATATTGCTGTCAACCACATCGATATTAAAAATTTGTTTGGGGTTTTTTGTTTGTTTGAGTTATTCACGAAGTAAAATGATAATATTACTGTGGTTGACGGTAATATTACTGTCATTCACAGTAATATTAATTGATCTTTTGGCTTTTTATTATGTTTACATTTGTTGAACGCTCAACATAGTAATATTACTCTATTACACAATAATAATGAGTTTTGTTGTGTTAATATTACTGTGCTAGAGATTAATATTGCAATATTACTGTGTTAAACTGTAGTATAGTTAATTTTACTGTGTTTAACAGTAATACAGTTAATATTACTGTCAACCACAACAATATTGTTGTTTAAACGAAAAAAAAGATGTTACATAAAGAAAGAAAGAAGAAGAAAAAAAATCGAAAAAGTCAACGCCGGAAACCGGTGGCGGAAAAATCAAGAGAAATAAAAAAGTCAACGCTGGAGACCGGCGTTGAACGCCGGTCAACACCGGAAACCGGCGAAAAAATCAAGGAAAAAAAAGTCAACGACAGTAAAGGACGAATTTGTCCATAAAAATGTATTTTG